CAACACTGGGCCTGGTTAGTACCTGGATGGGGCAATGCAAGGCGCCGTACCAATGTAGGACCCTCAGTGGTCACTACCAATAGAAAACATTTGACCTTAAAGGTCAGAGTTCTCCTTCGATGAAGGATGCCAAACCAAAACACCGAAGAAACAAGAAGTTCACGAGTGTAATGTTCTTCTGTCATTTACAATTCAGGACTTTTTCAGAAAGGAAATAATTAATTGTTTGAAGCTTACTTTTTAATCTGTGTTTCTGCCTGTCTCTTAAGAGAACTTATTTTGTGATGTTGTTTCCACTGTGACCCTAATCAGCCAACTTTAGCAGCTTTATAATATTTTTAACCTTGGTTCTTTTTCCATTCGTATAGTTCAAACATTAAAATATAGTTGTTGTTTTTTTTAACTTTTCACAAGGGTTTGTTGGAATTTGGGGCATGACACCTTTCAAAACATCATTAGAAAACTTCTGCTTATAGAAATAGTTGTATTTTTCGAATGGGTCACCTATGTTTGAACCCTGAAAGCTTCTCCTCTACTGTTACCCGTTCCTACACACACTGTACGCCGCATCTGACTGCGTCTGAATGCATCTCTGCCCGTGACCCAGAGGTCAAAGTATTCCATCGATGACAGTCTTATCCTCTTAACTGCACGGCTGAGCTTCCCCGACCAACATGCAGAGGTGTGCGTGATGAGAGGAGATGAGACGCAGACAGGGGTGAGAGGAGGTGTCTTACAGATAACCCCTGCAGATGGACAGCGGGAAGAGTTTAGAGTTTCACGTGTGTGTGTTAAAATGATATACCCTGAAAAAGAGGATAGGAAAAACAAATGTGTGTGTGAGCAGCAGAGACGGGAGAGTGAAACAAGAGGCGTTGACCTCGAGCAGCACTGACGTGAGCCATCATCGTGAGAGAAGAACAAGAGAGCGTGGATGAACATGTGGACCAACGGCAAAGCAGCATACGTTCACGACCACAAACATTAAAGCTTCATTGTGGACTGAGACGTCCAACTTCTGCCAAATCCTTATTGCAGTAAATGTAGGTGACTCTTCTCTCTAGTGTTCAAGGCTTTAAAAAAAATCTGAAAAATCCCAGAGCAGCAGGTGTTTACAGAAACAATACTTATTTTACTGGAGGTAATCCAGGGACCTAGATTATCTTTGGCACACTGTTGCAATTACTCAAATCTTTGGCACTTTCCGTGTTACCACAATTATCTGGAGCTGTGGCGAAAGGCTAAAAAAAAAATTCTTGACACTGCTGAACTTCTGTTCAGGCTTCTCTAATTGTTTGTTTAAATTTTATTTTGAAGCAGGTGTTACACAGTTTAAAAATAATATATATGTATGTAATTTTTTGTAAATTAAATGTACTGCAGACAAAGGAAATCTTTAATATAAATCTTTGTAATGTTTTCTGAGAAGAAGTGTGTTAAAAATGTAAAGATTCTTGAAGTAGGGTTAAAGGGAGTGCTCATGAGTTGTCAGTGTCTAACCTGCAGAAGACAGCAATTAGAATAATCTCAGTTTGGCGAATCAAGCTAAGTGCTATTATGGTTGTGTTTTAGGGCTACTAAATGAAAAGGAGGAAGCTGTTTTAGGTGTTTGAAAATAAATAAATAAATAAATTCAGTAAAGTTTAAGTGCACAGTTTAGCTTGTGTTAAGAGCTTCAGTCACATTTGGTTTTAATTTTAATCTTGAAAAAAAACTGAAATTCTCCGTTTTCTGTTTTTCTCATCGGTCCCACTATGTCATTACAAGACAGGCCCCATTTAGGACCGAATTTCTACTGTAAAACAGCTCAAAACTCATAACATGTTAAACCATTCAAGATATGTTGTGTTGTGGATTTTAATTCTTTTCCCCTGAAAAAGTAGAGTCACATAACTTACTTGAAACGCTGATTTACAAATACATACCAAATATATATACGTATAAAAAAAGGGACAATGAAATTTTCAGCATCTTGTAACTTCAAGAATTCAGAGGAACTTTTCGTGATTGATGTTTGGAGTGCTCGCACTAAAACAAAGCAATACGAGTAAGTCTCATCTTCCTTTGTTCCTCAGAGGTTTACTGTCTGTAAACACTTGGCCATACTTTACGATGGAATGTCCAAATAAAAAGCTTTTTTGAAGACTTCACCCCGTCACTTAGGCAGGCACTGTCAATAGGCCCTGCTGCCTAATGACTCACCTGTAACTGCGTGAGAACAAGTTCTTACAGGAGACTGTGGCACGTCACATTGGAATGACAAAGCTCCCATTCTCTTTATAAGACCCCCCCCTTCTGTAATTGACCCCCACTTAATTCTTCCTTCAGGCTGACACCATATTCTGTGTTTTCCTGAATTACTTCAGAAAGTTTCTTTTGAAGAAAGGCTCTATGGAAAGTTTAAGAGTGATCAAAATGTTACCTGGTAAAGATAACTATTTGAATGGAGTTTAATCCAAGTGAAAATAAGACTAAAGTGGACTATTATTTTAAAACAAGTAAAATCTTTAAAAAAAACAATAGTTGTTCATAGTAATGCTTTACACTAAATTTTCATCACAGTAAATGGTTAACTTGGCAAAAATATTAGGATATTCCACAATAAAAATATCATTTTTATCATTTACTCTACTCAGTCTAGTTGTCATATTTCTTTGACTCAGTCAAATTATCTCAGTTTCACGTGTCAAGTTCTGAAGACTTATAATTTTCTAAAAACTTGAACATCCTTTGGTAAATAAATCGAACTAGAAATGTTCAATTACAAAAGCTCAAAGTCAGTTCAAACTGTTTAAATTTATTACGTTGGCTAAAAATAAAATATTCAAGGTTGCCTGCTACAGCTAACTGCTGCCGTTTTGTGCTTGAAACCCACCAATCTCTGCAGAAATAACTTCAAAGACAATTGCAGGGCAAAGGTTTAAAAAATAGCTTTCACATTAACCATGATAGAATTTTGAAGAACTGAACCGTTTTATTTATTTATTTTTTGACAGCAAATCAGTGCCAAAGCAGCAAAGAAGTATCACTTTAACATTTCAAGATTTAAACGTCAATTCCGCATCGGAAATATGATCCTGCTGAGTCATTCTTTCGATGCACGGGAACTTTTAAAGTCAGTAAGCTAAATAGCAGGCTTACTGGGGGTGTGGTGTTAAAAATAAATCTTCCTCTCAGGACTTTGTAATGAACATGCATCCTCCCTTTGTGCAGAGGATAATGAGCGAGAGGGACGATTGCCCAAACTGGATGATTATCTCAACGTTAGACGTAGATCAGTTGAAATCCTGCAGAGTGTATGTGTATGTGTATGTGTGTGTGTGTCGGGGGGAGTGGGGGTACTGTTCTCTCCTCCCTGAACACACACATGCCCGTACCTCCCAACCTCCTGCTGCCTGTTGTTCTCTGCCTTCAGCCACTTCAAAATGACATTCTTCTGTCTGCCCTTCATTTAGGAGACACCTCCTCTTTTGATGCTGATATGCAGGCATCAAAGAGAAGTCCATGGGCAATTAATGGGTCTGAGCAAAAAAACCTCACTGACTTTTCATTTAAAAAAACCCCAGCATATATCCCTTTGTAATCTGTTTGAGACACGTTTCTTTTTAAGAAAAGATCTGACTTAAAATCAGAACACCTTTTTCAACTTGTAGTTTCTGCGTTTTTATTTTACAACATTTTAAACTATTACCTGAACTCATAAAAAAAATCATTTTTGTGATGATTCCTTTTTTTTTCTCTTTCAATATTTAAATTTCGGCCACTGGTTCAAGAGGCACAGTGATGCATACGAAATACTTCAAAAGACAAAGCACACCAACGTCCACCCCCCCAGCAGTTCAAAGGAGTCCTTCTGAACATTATCATTTAATTTGGGACAACCGTCAGCTTGTAAATAAGTGATGTAGAAGGCTATTGTGTGATGGGGCACAGGTTGGAGACAGAGCGTCTTTGCTCTGCCGGCATGAGCCGCTGAAGACAAAGGCAGGAGACAGAGCGTCTAACCTTTGATTCTTCTGAAGACTCACCCACCTCGTGTTAAGGCAAAAAAAAAAAAAAAAAAAAAACGCACGACACGACCGTGCCCCTAATGTGGGGACGTGAGGAACAATAGAATCACCCACACACGGTCAGGCTGAACAACAAATCCAAACTGCAATTGGATTAGCAAGTATCCAACCAACACATGTAAGCCTAATTGACATAAAAGTGAAATTTGAGAACAATTAGGTCCTCATACTCAAAGACCAGCTTTGACATGGCAAATGGCTTGTTTCTAAAATTCTGTGTAAACATGACAATTAAAAGAATCCTAATGATGATTCGCTCAAAATTGGTAAAATACCTTAAAATAAACCAGCCGTGCTTTCATTGGGATGGAAAACATAGTTCCAGATTTTCTTTTTGTGTCTTTTTTCACTTAAAAGTGATTTGAACAGATCCAAAATAAAATTAGGATGCCAAAAAAATGTCTAAAAAAATCCAAAATTAAATTACAAAAGTAATCAAGATTTAGAGTAACTTTTATTTTTGTTTCATCTTCTTTTGAATGGCTATTACAGATGTTTTACCATAAAGAATTATTTACCGTTTGAAGGACCTAGTTTGAATAGTCAGTTTGATTTTTGAGTCAAAATATTAAAAGCAAATGATGAACTGGAATATTAAAAAAAAAAAAACACAAAATCATGCAGTGCTCCAATTTCTGCAAAACACAAAGGGTGCATTTTGTGACATGGACTAAATGTGGTATGCAATCAATGCTTCTTTTTTCATTGTATGATATAAAAATAATAAATATTACCAGTAAATATACTTTTAGTTTTTGGAGATTTTTTTTCTATTTTCTCAATAAAAACACTTATACAATCTAATGTACATTATGAAAAGTTAAACAACATTTTCATGTTCAAAATAAGGACTCAATTTATTTTTAACAAGTAGATATAAATATATATATTTTGTCAAAATATATGATCATATTGTCAAAAGAAACATAAAAGTGAGACAAACATACACCTCATAAAAGTTATAAATAAGGGTCCAAGTGAACATTTTTTGAAAAAAAAAAAGTCTTCTTATTTGTTCTGGTGTCCACATTCTTTTGTTCATGTCACCACTCTGGGTCCAGGATGAAGTAGCTTTGTGTGCTAGCGGCAGCCACAGCCCTCCACCACCATTTCCTGGTAGTTTTTTAGAACCACTTTGTCGTGTTCATCTAGATAGAGCATGGAGATGGCGCTGAGCTCTGTTGGTACGCAGCAGGCCTTGGGAATGTTGCTGTTCACAGAGTTCACCAGTGTCTGAACAATGGCGTGGTTGGTTGAGTTTAGATGGTCTGCCAGAGGAAAGGGGCACTCCCCTTGGCAGTAATAGGCCTGGTAACCAGGGGGCGCCACAATCCAGTCATTCCAGCCGACGTCGCTGAAGTCCACGTACAGCGCGTGGCGGCGGCAGCTGCGGTTGCGCTTACGGCCCCGTTTGGGAGGGCTGCGCTTGGTCCGCCGGGTCAGTGGGTGACCCTTTCCGTCGTGACCGAAAGTAACCAGAAGAGGGCGCAGCTGCCCCCAGTCCTCCCCGGGCTCTTGGTGCACGGAGCGGCTGATGCGGACGTGGCGGCCCTGGTGGCGCGGAGTCTGGTTGAGGTGCAGGACCTCCACGGCCAGTCCATAATTAGGACGACCCTCGCGGGTCCACCGCAGCACGGCGGGGCTGACGTCGAAGCTCTCCCAGCGCGACGCGTTGTGCCGCACGAGCCTCGTGTCCAGGAGCTGCGTGATGAGCTGGCCAGGCCGCGGGGGTTTCAGCACCTCGTAAATGTTTATCCGGTGAAGGCGCTGCTCGTCCAAGAGGTCGTCGGCGAGGGCCTCCTCAATCTGATGACGGTAGAGCCTCAGTTCCGCAGAAGACAGCAGCTCGTCCTCTGGAATGCTGCTGAGGTTGAACAGGAAGCGGATAGGCATGGATTCTCCATCACCCAGCTCGTGGATCCTCTCCATGGGCTCTGAAAGTGAGCAAGAGGAAAAGTGTGGGACGTTTGTACAGATCAGATGTGTAAAAAGAAACATCTGGGAGCTTCAACAGAAATTCGAGCTTCTTAAAAATGACATGAAAGCATCTTTTTATTGTTTCTTTGCACATCAAGGTTCTAAAGGATTAGCAATTTATAAAATGATATATATATTTTTTCTAACCGGCACTTTTTCTTTCATTGGCACAAAACAAAAACAATTTCACACTTTTCAGCGCCCCCAGGGTAGTCAAGAMTATAACTACACATTGTCCAGGCTTCTTTAAAGGTTTTCCTGTCCTTTTTCTCAGTGCCATTCTTTGAGCACTTTGCTGAAACATGCATTACAAGGAGGGTGGTGATTAACGCACCACAACTTACAGCATAAACACAGTGAAGGCTCCCTGTTCCACTCGCAGTCTGCAGATTTCTGGCAAGATCACCATTGTTGGGGAAAGGAATGTTGTGTCTACTATTTTCCTGCTCAATCCACCCCTGTTATTTCACACCCAGGCCCTAATCTTACCCAGGTGGTTCTCGTTATTAAAACCTGCTGTGCTTTTGATTAGCTCTGCAGTTTGTCCACTTAAGACATTTATCATTTTCATCATGAATAATCATTAAAGAGTCAGACAATACAGTAGAATCCCATTTCTCCAAAGCCCATGGGGAAGGCGGTATTGCGTGGGAATGCAGTGTGTTCGGAACCAAAGCTCAAGTCAGAAGTGAATCCGTGCCCACACACTCCTCGTGTTTTGTCTGCTCTGTTAAATTGAAAAGTAATGGTATGAAAAAAAAAAGAGATTTCTGTCACGCCCAGTCAATAAAAACCAACATCTTCCAGATCGAATGCACAAATGAATGGCTTGCCCTTCCCGCCGTAAACATTTCTCCTCGTCTAACTGTCCGTCAAGCTGCAGACTGTAATACGTCCTTGTGGTTCCGAGAGATCAGTCAACTGAGTCACACCATCACACAGCGGTGCTTCCATGAAAGCCAGCACGCCCACTCAAACTGCTTCAAAAGCCTGTCATTAAGATCGCTCAGCAGAGGGGAGAAGGAAAGGGAATGCTTGGAGGAAGAAGTTCAAACCCTTCCACAAGCTCACATTGCATCACAGACAGAAGTTCCTCCTCTGGTGACGGTGCTCCTTTCTTCTGCCCCTGACTAGTCTGCGGTGTTAGCACAAGTTGGCATGTGCTACTACTAGCGGTGTGTATGGCAAGCATCGTTACGAATGACTCATCTCTCAGTCGTTTTGTTGCCCTTCTGCTATTCCAGTTTTCTCAGTTCACCATCAGTTTCTCGACACATGCTCTCTTTTAAGCATGAGCAACACATGAATGTCTTTTTTTAACTTGTTTTTTAATCTCCTCAGTGTTCCTGCCCTACCAGCTACTGAGGTTGTATTTTTTTCCACCAAACTCCAGTATTCTCTCTCTCTGCACCTATCTTGTTTGCAGCGGGGGCTTTATTTAGAAGGCTGCAGAGTGGCATTAAAGAAAATTGCACGGTGAGGAAGGTCTTTCTAAACGAGAMATGACAGAGGAGCACACGACGTTTCCAAGCCGAGAGCAGGCTTTTTTAAAACCGTGCTCGACTGGGTGGAGTAAGTAGAGTAAGTCAGTAATATGAAGGTATGCTTTGCCTTCAGTCACAAACCAAACACACAGAGCTTTGTCAAATTAGGCTCTGGAGAGCTTGTCTAGCAGAATTTTATGAGCCTCTGTAGAGGCTGTTCAGTAACCACATCCTTAGATTCTTTGGTTATGGTGAGATGGGTGGAGAACTCTTGCATTTTTTTTAAACCATGAATGCTCAGCCATGAGAACGCACCACAACTACTACCAAAACKATTTGAATGTCTGCCAGGAGCAACCGTAAGAATAATGCTGTTTTGGTGCTTACATTTATTATTAGTTTATCTTTTATGACRCTGCCTCTGTTTCCTTCAGTGCGTTTGGATAAGAAAACAAACAAAAAAACCCATCCTTACCTTCATGGTGGAAGCCCCTCACAGTGTTGGCCCGACTGGCTGACCTCTCTGGGTACTCAAAGGCAATGCCGTGCCCTCCGACCTCCTCAGCCTCACCCGACTGTAACCGGTAGAGGTCCAGCAGGTAGTGCGGCACCGTGGCTGAGCGACTGGGCCGCGGCCGCTTCTTGAGGCCGAACATGTGCAGCAGCGTGGCCTCAAAGTCCCGCAACAGTTCATGGCTCTGAGTGGCCGAATGACCCTGCAGGCCAGGTACTTTCTTCTTCCCTTCTTCAGGTACCAGACTAGCATGGTTGCTCTCTCCCAGCAGGACTTGGCATATTAAAATGACCATCAGCATTCGATTACCAGGAATCATGATGTCTCTGGCAGGGGGTGGCACATGACACAGGGAGACAAAAGATTAGGACAAATTTGAGCTGAATGGAAGGGTAAGAGGACATAAAACTACCACAAAAACAGGAGAAAATGTACATTTAAGTTTTTTCTTTCCTTTTCTAAAAGTTTGTTTTGGAGTTCTCTCATCTTCTTTGAGCATTCCCACTAATTGCCTTAAACAATCTTGTCTGTTTACAGTAAAGCAGTCTACGATCAGATAGACCCCTTGCTGTTTATCTCTGGGGACATCCTCCAAAGGTAAACAGCTGGTCCCCGAACCCAACGTTTTAAATGCAATTTAAGGGGCATTCCTCGTCACTCCACCCCTTCACTGCAGTCAGACAAATAAAAGAGGCAGCCCCGGGGTCGAAACGATTTCTTCATATGATAAGGAGCAAGTGTCCCTTAAAAAAAGTAAATAAAAACTGAAAATCTCCTCCTTAGCCTCCCTTCAGACTTCCCATCAAAGTGCTACAAACTGCGTACCTACCGACAGAAAATAAAGCATGGGGAAACAGTCCATGTTTGTTGGGAGCAGGCAGTGGACASGTTCTTCCAGGAAACGTTAGGTGGTGTTAGGAGGCTGCAGGAGAACGTTGGAGTGACCCTGTTCCTGAAAGATAAAAAAAATAAAAAACACAATGAAGCTATAATCTGAGTGCAGCTGCAAATGCTTGAGTTTGTTACATTGTATTTACGTAAAGAAAAGCATAAACCAATGTGTGTATGTCTCGGCTTGTGTGGGTAAAAGAGAGACCCCTTGTCTCTTTAAGGCTTATCATTTCAGCTTGTGAGTAAGCTAGCTATTTGCTGTAACTGGAATGTAAGGAGGTATGCACCACAACACAGACAGCAGATCACCTCAGACACAAAACACACTTTATTCAACCTTTACATCAATAGTGGTGGAACAAAAACCAACGTATGCCTCTGGTATTAATTAAAAAGGGTCAAAACTCAGACTCCTTTTGAGGAATTTAAAACAAACTCAGCAAGGAGCAAAGAAAATCAGAGTGGGAGCGTCCACCTATTAAGACATTAAGCTCTTTTTATGCAACTTTTCGAAAAGGCTCCAAACATATTTTTGCAGCATGAAAACCTGAAGTGTCCACAGTTTGTRGACACAGACTTCACTTGTGGACTTCTTTTTTTTTTCTTTTTTTTTTCATAAAAGACAGCCATCTTGTCCTCAGTCTGATATGGCAAACCTAATGTTCTGGTTTTAGCTGTCGTTTAAAGAGTTAAAAAGCTGCAGAACCACACAAAAACAAGCTCCAAAATTTCTGAGTGACCACAATACCAGACACATCCAGAGTAACATATGTCTTCCATCTTCATTTGGAGCTTTTCTCTCAGACATTAATACTCTCCCTGTGTGCGTGTGTGTGTGTGTGTGTGTGTAACATTTTACAGTGTGTGTGTTTTCCAGCGTCTGGTTTGGCATATATGCATTTTCTCTCTGGCCCTGCATGGTTCACTGTACATGCAAACAGGGATTTGTTTCCCTAACAGCATTAGGCTGACCTCTGTCTGACCCTACTTTCTCGGTCATGACACTGGATCCAGTGTGTGTGTGTGTGTGTGAGAGAGAGTGCGTGAGAGAAATGGCAGAGGTGCATCGCGCGCATCCACACTTGAGCACGAATGTGTGCCACTGCTCACACGTTCGTGAGAACTGTGGCACAGAGAGGAAGAGGAGGCTTTCAGAACATGATCAGCTCTATTACCCATGGGGAGCGGGGATAAATGTGTGTGTGTGTGTGTGTGAGAGAGAGAGAGAGAGAGAGAGAGAGAGGAGAGTGTGTGTGGGTCACTGCGTGCATATCCCTGACAACAAATGTTCATTGAACAGAGAGGGCCTCTCCCATGATGATAGGGATTCACAGCACACCAGAGCACTGACCATACAGCTCATTCTGTAACTGTAACCAGCCACTGTCAAAGCTGTGGGCGAAAGCAGACAACACACTCGCCCTGGTGTGAAAAAAGAAGGAAAAAAGTTTAACCCGTGRAAAAAGTCACGTTTGCTGACCTGTTTTCAGTACAGATTTAAAAAGAAAGGAAAAAAATATTTTTGAGAATCGACATTTTTCAGATTCACGTTCTCTCCTCTCAATCGAATCGTGAAAAAGCAAAGCAGGACTTCCCAAAACTGTAAGGAGCTTCGACCAAATGGTGACACTACGGAGCAGAGAGGTGCATATAGGCCTCAGCGGTCCCCTCTCTCCTATTCTCTTTATGTCCTGATCAAAGATAATGATCAGATCAGATTGTACACATGGCTCTTCAGATGCAGGAATTTGACAGAAATGGTGGGAGGAAGAGAGAGGAAGAGAGAGAGGGAGAGAGAGAGAGAGAGAGAGAGGAGGGCAACAGGTTACAACGGGAACAGATCTATGACCTGATTTTATCTTCTAATAAGTCTGAGACAACACATCTGCAGTATTTGGAATTTCATTATCCAGCTGCTGTGGGTAAATACTAACATGTTTTTAGTTTCATTTCAGTGCACAAAGCATAAMTGTTGGCAAAAAGCTACAATAATGAAACATTATTTAATAATTTGCCTTTCTGATGTTTTTAGTGAAGCTCTAATGGAGTAAAAAAAACTTTAAATTTAAGGTTCAATTACAAGAATAAACTCTAATTATTGTAAAAGAAACACTCCACATCCCCCACTTTTTTTGTTGCAATTAAACCAGAATGGGAAGCAAACCCATGTTTAAACATTCACTGTTAGTGAGATCATTCGATTTAGGAGGTAAGCGGGCCATTTTGGGAGTTAAAAGCTAAAAAAGCATGTTAAGATAAGAATGGCTTTATTGGCTAGTGTAGAATACAAAAATAAAAAAAATACACTTTAAGTTTTTTTCCCTGCACTAAGCACAAACATAGTTTCAGTGCCAAGACAAGAAGCCAAAAATTTGTTTTCCTTTCTGCATTTTTATTGAGTTTATTGGCTGTTTTTTTTCCTGTTTAAAACCACCTTGTAAACTCTGAACATATGCAGCAAGTGGGTTCTTCCATTGCAGTACAGTTGTTGTACAATTACTCTGTGCTCGTGTTATTTTTAGCACTCATATTTTATTGCAAACGTCATCTTTAATCGACCTAAAACCTGTGCTCTAATGCGAAATTATTGTTTTGTTTTCCTTAATAATTAATCTAGCCTGGATTAGAAATAAAAGAATATATAT